TGTATAAAAGACGTACAAAAGTGCATTTTGCATAATAGGTCCACTTTAAATAAAATAGTAGGAATGAGAATTGAAATGCTTACCCTGGTTCCCGGTGAGAATAGAGGTTTTGTCCCAACAAAATAACTCTGAGTCGAAGTTACGTGATCTCAGAACTTCAAGAAGTGTCTGTAGATAATAACCCTTGAAGCTGAACTATTTGTATGATATCTTCCCCCAAAGTCGATCAATAATCATGATCAGCATCCAATCACTTAATACCATGTAGTATACTCCCACGCACATGAGCCCAGTTCCAGTCAGCAGATCAAGGTTCCAGTAGTTATCTAAGGACACACTGATGAAACATTCCCGTAAATTCAGGTTTGCGCAACCATTGCTTTAATCTCAGAGAAATAACTGCACTGATCCAACAGTTTCACTAGGATTTAGTTTATCACATTGATATATATATATATATATATATATATATATATATATATATATATATATATATATATATAATATATTATGTATATATTGTCTCATAGGTACAAGTGCAAGAGAAATATATGTTTATATGATGCTGTGTGCAGAGGTGGGAAAAGTACTCTGATCTTCTACTTGAGTAAAAGTACCAGAGTGTAGGAAAACTCTGTTACAGTTAAAGTCCTGCATTCAAAATATGTATCAAGTAAAAGTAGAAAAAGTATTAGCTTCAAAATATAATTAAAGTACCAAAAGTAAAAGTAGTCATTGTGCAGATTGGTCCATTTCAGAATAATATATATGATATGTTTTATAATGATTGATCATTAAAGTGTTCTCAAAGCTGGTAAAGGTGCAGCTAGTTTGAATGACTTTGTATACTGCAGGGTAGCTTGTGAATTTACTCCAGGTGGAACTAAAGCCTGATTTAACACTTGATTATATTAAACTTCATTAATCCACATTTTTCTGTAGTTGTAGTTTTCAAAAGTTGTTGAAATGTTTCTTTAGAGGCCAGCAGTGTTTTTAAGAGTCTTTGGACAATTATCTTCCTATGTTTGGAAGCTTTGAAATACAATTTTTACTGCATATCATTCAGCTTTCAGCAGGCAAACTTTCATTCCTTATCCAGTTATAAAATGACAGAAAGAGTTGTGTTTTTTATGGCAAAACAAGTAGACTGCCTCCAACTGTGCCCTGTCAGAACCTTTTTGTAAATACCCACATTTTTTGTGAAATACAACTGGCCTTTAAAAGGTTATCTTTCTTTCTCATTGTATTTTTTGCCAAAGGAAGTCTTGTTATTAATGCTTTCTACAGAAAAACACAAACGGCTCAGGCATACAGAGGAAACTGGTCTTTGTTTGGGCCTCCAGACATACATTAGTTGTTTGAACTTTAATATTGTCTGCGGCCCTTCAGTTATCAAGATACCACTCTTACAGACATGATGGGGATTGATCTTCTGATCTAACTTTGGGTAAGAAAGCTTTCAGATGTCTTTTATAATATTTGTCTATTTTGTCTGTATTTAAAAAATAAAAAACTTGCCTTCAGAACCATTGCTTTCATTGTTCTTTAATAATTGATAGAAACAAAAAAACAGTTATTTTCTTATGACACAAGACAAGCACATTCCCAGAAGGTGTACAAGTCCCATGTAAAAGCAAAAGTCAAGGCAGAGGTTTTTTTTTTTGGGGGGGGTCATTTGGGGCAATGTTGTTGCAATCTCCACCAGTAAATATTGACGCCATGCAAACAACATTTAACATTTTATTTTGGATGCTTTGTGTACACATTACAGCATCTTTGCAAATCCATTACATTGAATGCTAATCCAGTGCAGAGGCAAACACCTCCACCTCACAGAGGGTCAGGTACTCCTTTCTTCCAGGGACAGCTATGTAAACATAGCTGCTGTCCATCCCGTTGGCAACCTGGAACTCAGCAGTTTCACAGAATCACAATTGAAGACCCTCGATCAGGCCTTTAATTTGGCGACCTTGGTATTTTTCCATTTCTGTGATCAGATCAGAACACAGTGGAGGAATCATTCATAAATGAAGGGTATTCCTGCTCCAATCCTATTTCTTGGCAATGTAAGGTTATCTGTGTATATGGCGGTCAATAATTAACTATAAATCGGGGTATGACCACGTTTGTTGGCATTTTTTATCCAAAAACAAATTTAGCACCAGGGTAAACTTGATAGAGAAAAACGTAATAATTGTTCCTGAAACGTGTTCCAACAAAACAGGCTGTAAATTACCTGGGATTGCCAGCTCCATTGAGTCGTTCGGGGACTTCATATCGGTTGGTCAAAAATCATGATCAGCATCCAATCACTTAATACCATGTAGTATACTCCCACGCACATGAACCCAGTTCCAGTCAGCAGATCAAGGTTCCAGTAGTTATCTAAGGACACACTGATGAAACATTCCCGTAAATTCAGGTTTGCGCAACCATTGCTTTAATCACAGAGCGATAACTGCACTGATCCAACAGTTTCATTTAACTAGGAATTAGTTTATCACATTGACATATATATATTATATATTATATATATATTAGGTTAAATATAAATATAAATATATGTTTATATGATGCCGTGTGCAGAGGTGGGAAAAGTACTCGGATCTTCTACTTAAGTAAAATTAGAAGTACCAGAGTGTAGGAATACTCAGTTACAGTAAAAGTCCTGCATGCAAAATGTTACTCAAGTAAAAGTAGAAAAAGTATTAGCTTCAAAATATAATGAATGTACTAAAAGTAAAAGTAGTGATCGTGCAGATTGGTCCATTTCAGAATAATATATATGATATGTTTTATAATGATTGATCATTAAAGTGTTATCAAAACTGGTAAAGGTGCAGCTAGTTTGAATGACTTTGTATACTGCAGGGTAGCTTGTGAATTTACTCCAGGTGGAACTAAAGTCTGATTTAACACTTGATTATATTTCACATCATTAATCCAAATCTGTAAAGTAACTAAAGGGATTAAATACATGAAGAGGAGTAAGGCAAGGCAAGTTTATTTATATAGCACCTTTCAACACAAGGCAATTCAACGTGCTTTAAAAAAATGAAAGACATTAAAAGTGCCAATGTGAAATGCCACTATGAGACAAAATACAAAGTGTTTGACCAAACATTCCCTCTCAAGTCAGAACTGAGGTCAAATAAACAGTCTCAGAGCCCAATATGATCAGTCCACCAGGATCAAAACTAAATATCGTTCCAGGTCAGGGTAACCGAGGCTAACCAATGAGCACCTGCATGTGTGTATGAGAATGGCCCTGACACCATTTCAGCCCAGATTTAAACTCCTGGCAGGACAAGCTCGAGCTCATTTCTCGCACTGAACAAAAAAAAGTGAGTGAGGGACTGCAATATAAGAGGGACAGAAAGATAAACTTTAAAACTGTTCAATTGTTATGATGTGTAAAGACTGATATTGTTCTATAATCGGCTGAAACTGTTAAGTCATGATGTGAAACGGTTAACAAAGAAAAAGGGAAACTCAAGCTGCTGCTACACTTTATTTTATTGATCTAAAATCAAGCACTTTTAAGATGCACACATTTTCAAAAGCTATTTTATTTATTTTCTCTATTTTATTTTTAAATGCAGCCCGAGAGGAACATTACACATATCCACAGTTTTTACTGTATATCTGTTTAGTTCAATGTTAATTGACAATAAATATTGTTGTTTATGAATTGTACTTTCTTTATTTGATTGGCAGTCAGTTGTTGATTACATGCAGACGTTGATAAAGCTACAAGCTACTTCAATATATATCACACTAATTCATAAAGCAAGATAGACATTTTGATGTTCCGGACCTTTGCATGGGGAGATTGTCTCTAACTGGACCTCGTTTAATTTTAGTTGAATACCCCTGGTATAATATGTAAGCAAGTAGGGCTCTAAACATTCTCAAAATGAAATCAATGTCATTAGGAGATTATTTTAGAAAGAAGTGATTTTTGGTTTTCTTTTGCATTGTGAACTTCTCCAGTTCTTCATTTAATCCAGACGAGAGCCGTACACCTCCACCTCACACAGACTCAGGAACTCCTCCAGTCCTGGGATGACTATGTTGACCCCTTTCAATCAAACGCACCGGCACCACCGGCAGGGATACTTGTGATCACAGCACACCTGGCAGAAGAAGCAGAAATTACTTTGTTGAGTTCAATTAAGGTTGGTTTTGTTGCTTTAACAAAGTGCACTGTTGGCCACATTGGGGCAGCAGAACAAACATTGCAAATACAGGACTTTGAAATGATCACCTCACAAGGTTGTTGTGGCTAACATGCAAGCAAACATTTGTCTTTTTCATTATCTTTTGGCCACCTGATGAACTCTGTACTGGTCTCCGCGTGACGGAAATATCTTGCTCTCAGCTGCTCCAACGCTCCACTGTGTTCACCAGCTAGTTATTAAGTGTGTGTGTCTGTACTTTGGTGGTGAGCACCTAGCGTACAGTCTGGGATATCTGAGGTTTTTCTTTGTTAAGCAGCCAAAAGCAACACTATGATAGCAATAATATTAAACCAACAATTGAAGTCCCACATAAACCAAAAGCAATATACCAAAAGAAGCGTAAAAAGCTGAATGAAACAGTATATGTAGATATACTCTCAACACAAATACAGCTGAGACTGATGAAAATTGCATTTGTGTTGAGTGGTTTGACAAATTGTGAGGACTCAGCGCATCAAACTATGACCCTACACTACAGTTGCATTAAACCCTGGTGTGTAAGATTAAACAGTAAAAATTCAACAACATGTTGAGTTTCACATGGGACCAGGGGCGGACTGGGACTGAAAATCAGCCCTGGACTCTAACCCAGCCCAGCCCACACAAATTGGTAGAGCACGCTCGTGAACTGTCAACAGGAGGGCGGGGGGAGCCCCGCTGCGGCGAAACTGTGGACCTCTGTCGCGGTGCCGGCCGTCAGCGAATCGAGCCAGCCGTCAACGGTCCGCTGACGACCGGCCGTTTTGTGATTCTCCAGAACACACAGATGGCCAGTCCGCCCCTGCATGGGACACAAACCGCAGTCTCTTGGGTAAAACTCCTGTGTTGTTTTTTCCCCCCTTATTCTACGTCACCACCAGCACTTGCTCTGAGCGTCTAATTGGCGCAGTTACTTGAAAACACAATGTGTCCCCTACTAAAGGGTGCCTCGAGCATTGGTAGAGGACATGACGAAGCCTTGGTATTTGAAGCTATCTTATGAGACTGGGCTGGAGCAAATTTCACCAAAATACATCTGGGAGTAGTTAAGATATTTCCGTCTGACCAAAGCACTGACCGGCCATTAGAGTGACTGAAAACCAGAAGTACTTGTACTGTACTGTAGCATATTATTTTCGAATCAATCATTTTTCAAATTATGAATTTCAGTTAGTTTGTTTCTCATTTAAATGAACAATAAAGCTAAACAATGTTAAATGTTTGAACAGTTCACAGCCCTCTTTGGTCGTTCCCAACTCTACAGCACTTTACGGCTTTAATTACAGGTTGCTGTCCTGAGTTGTGTGTGTGTGTGTGTGTGTGTGTGTGTGTGTGTGTGTGTGTGTGTGTGTGTGTGTGTGTGTGTGTGTGTGTGTGTGTGTGTGTGTGTGTGTGTGTGTGTGTGTGTGTGTGTGTGTGTGTGTGTGTGTGCGTGTATGTGTCAGCCTGTCAGTGTGTGTCTCCTCTCCCTCCTCAGGTCATGCAGGGCTTGGCTTGGGTCGGCTCCACAGTTCTGCTCAAATTCCTGCTGTACACGGTCCACTGCGCCTCAGATGATGTAAGCTGCAGCAACTTTACCTTAAAAAAAGTCATGTGGCAAGAACTAATGCTAATATTTGAATATGGTTGACAGTAGAATATATACCTGATCATTTCATAACTTAATAAAAAAATAGTAATGACTTAAAATGGTTTTATTGCTTAGAATATCTCCGATATTCACAGAGATTAAAGATTCATCCAGTTTTCTAGTATTTTAGAAAAAATATTTTTTTTGTTATTATTCTCCGAGAATATTCAAGTTTTTTTCTCAGACATCTACCTTTTTTAATCTGTCAAATTCACAGATGTTATTTCAAATATATCCCTCTCCTCTTTCTTTGTTTTGCCTCAAATTGCTCTATCAGTTCACGTACCGTTAAATGCTTAATAAAGGCAAATCTGAAACATGTACCGTCAAAAATTAGGATGATATAGTCAACCCACAATTGAAAACCCAGCTGCAGAGGTTAGGATTGGCTTTCTGAGAGCTAACAGCTTAATATAAAGTGTCTTATAGTTTCATGCTGACATCAGAAAATGTTGGAATTAAATCAACAACAATTTCAAATGCATTCACACATTTAAATTCATGAAAGAAAGTTTTTTTTAATGAAAAGATACAAAAACATGTCTGTAATATGTCTCTTTTTTGTGTGTCTTCCAGGCGCACATCAGTGGACTGATAAAGTCTAAGTTCACGAGCTACAAAGACTTCCACACTCTGATGTACACGTGTGCTGCAGAGTTTGACTTCCTGGAGTTAGAGGTAAAGTTTGTTTTTACCAAAATCTGGTCCTCAACAAGATTAACAAATACTTCTCCTTGTGACTTTGTGTGCTAAAGTGTTCTCTGAGATAAATTTGAGGTGGATTGGTGTGAAAAACATTTATTTTTATCAGAATAAACCTGCTGTTTTATATCAAAGAGTCTGATATGTACAGCAGGCATCAGAGCACAGGGAAACAGATCTGTGCTTTGAATTGAAAAGGAAATAGAAAGCTGGCAGCTCATTTTGATTTAAATTATTTTACAAACTGGACCCTGCTCATGTTGTGGTTGCATGTTGTGACTGTGTAGTTTACAGTCAAGATTTTGAGTTGTCTTAACTTACGGTGTCTCTCCGTCCCTCATACCCCTTTAAAATACCTTAAAACGTTGCCGCTGCCCATCAACATGCTGGTGGTCGCTGCCATCGCCTGGAGGGTAAGTGTTCCTGTAGCTTCTGGACAGAAATCAGATAAACAAGCAGCAAAACAAATATGACCCACAAAAGTAACATCTTAAGGTGGCCATCATTTAGTTCTTGTTAAAGGGGCCCTATTGTGCTAATTCTCAGGTTCATATTTGTATGTAGTGTCTCTACTGTGACATGTCTCCATGCTTTAATGTTCAAAAAAGCTCTTTATTTCTCTCATACTGCCTGTGCTGCAGCACCTCTTTTCACCCTCTGTCTGAAACCAGAGTCCAGTCTGCTCTGATTGGAGTTTTATTTGTGCACTTTTCATACACAGGGTGCAGTTTAAGGCCTTTTTTGCACACATGCAGTATACAGTAGTACAGCGGTTACCAACCTTTTTCAACACAGGGCCCACTTAAGAATCAAAAATGTTTTTGCGACCCACATTCAACCATAAACAATACGGAGGCAAAATAAAGTTCTGATTGGTCAATTCAGAACATGTGACACGTTGTAATTCCAGTAGAACAGACCGCTGTCAACGACTGAAAAAAACATGTAATTTGCCCTGCAGGGGAGTCATAGCTCAGATTTACATGTGTATATATTTAACCTTCCAGAAAGGAGGAGATGATTTTTATTTTGTTGAGGGAAACTCAAAAGGGATATTTAAGGAAGTGCTCTTTATGTAGTCTAATCTCATTACACCTTGCCCCCGCTAAGCCAAGAATACATAAGTCGATTTGACAAAGCATGGGATCCAGTCAACAAGTCCTCCAACTCATATGACCAAATATGTCGTTTGTTCAAGCACTTAATACGACCTATAATCACGTTTTAAAGTTTTCGACCTCTAGTGCTCCCGTTGAATGCAAACATTACAGAGGGTCGTTTATTCACAAATAACCCTCTCTGTAAAATCCTAAATTGTTGGATAGTTTGGCCATTAAAATGCTTTTTGATTAGATTTCTAGCGAGAAGTGTATATTGTACTTTTAGAATCCACGTCCAGTCGATATGTAGGATCTATAGTTTAATAGATATTACGAAGATGATTTGAGGTTTCGCCAGGAGGAAGGAGGAACCATTAGTCCTTTGCAGACTTTCCAGGATATAGTTTGGTTCCTGAGGGACGGAGGGAAGTCTGTGAAGCCGGCGGAGACTGATGAGGCTGCAGGGTGAGCGTCTGGAGGCCTGGTTGCTCATTTAACTTTCATTTACGAGCAGGAAAATCCAAATAAGTGAGTAACAATATGTTATCAAAGCTTACAACGAGCAATATCTTAACATATCCTTTTTTAAGAATTAGGAATTTGCAATTTTTAAGACAACCGTGTATAAGGACCATTGTAGGTTTAAAAAATATTACAGAACCAGTGGAGGGGTATACAATTCTGTGTGAATGTGGTGATAGTAAGACAAATAACTTGAATATTCTTTGACATTCAAACTCTCAGATCTCTGAGAAATAAACGTCTACATTTAAGAAAACCTTTTTATTTATTTTTTAATTCACAACCATTATTAAAGACTTTTCTTAGAATATTACCTCCTCATGAGGCTACATTGTTTACATGTACCTAAAATAACCTAATATGATTTCATACATTTTATGTAGTGGATTTAACCTGTTAAGCCCGAGAGACCCCGGTACCGGGGCACTGCCGCAACATCTTGCAGGAAACAGTGTCTGAGGGCATGTTCATTTAATAAACTATGAATGCTTTATATCCATGTAACGGGAAGAAACTCATCTAACTGACTTTTTTTTTTTTTTTTTTCAAAATAAAACCCACAATGCTAACACTGAGCCTCTGAATTAGCAACGAGCGAAAAATGCTAACACCTTACTGCACCGAAAATCACTCACAAAACCTTATTATTTATCTCTTCTCTACATCCATGACATAGTTTCACATCGTGAGGTGACACAGAATCGTTGGACACCCACATTATCACTGAATTATACGAAATGGCAACATTATAAACAAAAACGGACATCAAAACAGGTGACGCGAGGTAGCTAAAAATGCTAACATTTTTACCTTGGCTCTGTAGTCTCTCCAAAGTGGTCTTCAATGGCATTAAAACGATAAAAACGCTGCTGAAGTTAATCCACAGGTTAATCCAATGTGTCTGTGTCCCTTTGAAATGATTTCTGATAATCCATAAGCATTAAAACTGCTTTTCCGTTTCCAGATGTCAAAGCTAGAGATAGGTTCACTCTGATGGAAAATTACATGCGCGAAGGCCCCACCTTTTCTCTTCACAATGAGTGTGTGTGGGGGACTCCCCCTTCGATTCTATTGGCTCTAACGGTCAGAAAGAGGTGTCAACCATCAAAATCGAGCAAGGGGGGGCCAGAGATATGGAAAATCCACCCAAATGATCCCAGAAGTGGTTTCTTTTTTCTAAATCTCTCTAAAAAGGTCAAATGTCACTTGTTTTGCATCAATCTTGATACAGGGTACTTATTATATGTTGTACTTTGGATTCCTACCTTACCATCATCCAAGGGTAGTTTTCACTATAAGTACAAAATAATTTTTGGACGGACACTATCATTTACAGTTTTTTACTATGTAAAATCTGAATTTTCTTTAAAATAAAAAACATCTATATTGATTCTGACTTTTCTACATCCAACTCACAGGTTTATCATTACTTTAAGAAAAAAGATTATTAATTTAACCCTTTTAGAAGGGAAGATATGGTCATCTGGGAATGTCATTTTCGAGCCTGAGACCTGAAAAACAGGCTCGGGGCTTAACAGGTTAAGTGTATTATCTCTTTGTGTTCTGTGTTGCAGGTCTGAAATAGCCACAAAAGGAGAGGTGAGAAGAAACACTTTTCACAGCCTTTATGTTATTGTTAAAAATATGCACACAGCTTATCATAATCACACCTCCATTTTCCTAAATCAGTTTTATTCGATTGGCTTCCTCCAATGCAGTAGCGTCTGCTCAGTTACTCTGTCCCTTAGTGAATTCCATCCCTTTTCTCATTACTAAGAAATGAAAGGCAGCTTCCCCTTCTGTTATAAAACGGTGGGTTACGTATTGTAACCCTAGTTCTATAAACACAGGTGGAGCCCTCTACTGGACTCTATGGGT